TGTAGAAAGGAGAATAAGATCGAGCTTCACATGTTCGGCGAGCTTGTTTACCGGCCAACTCACGGTCAGGGCGATCGATCGATATGGTCCAGATATGTGGGGTGCAATTTGTTTTTCAATTGAGAATTTCTTCTCCGCTTTGAGACAAACTCCATATAAAAACGATTGACTCAGATACTGCGAAACTTTCTCTGCACATTAATATGCTTTCTGTGCCTCCAGCGAATTATACGCGTGAGAAAAATCCGCGGAGGGTGTGGAACATCATTTTATTTTTAATGGTGCAATGTTATGAAGAGGCGTTTTCGAAAGCCGGCTAAGTATAACTGTAGCCAGAGATATGTAGCCAGAGATTTAAGCTTACGAATGCTTACTAGCGCTCCTATCAAAAATTTGAAAAATTTTTGCCCAGAGAATGAGGTCGAATATTTATTTGTCACCGTCTAACCTATAAGTACAGTAAAGGCTACATAGGTATTCAATAAGCTAAACCAAGCCATGAATGGAGCCCGATGCGCATCGCATCCCTGTGGGGATGATCAACACTGCGGGCTTTATTCTTTTACTTTAACCCTTATTTATTTTACATGACACGCCATCCCAGTCTACTGTGCGGATCTCAGCACTTCTTGCACTCGATCCGATTTCGCTTTTCTTTATCGTTAACAAAGGTGTCCGAATACTTCACGTGTTGCTTCGGCTGCTGCTTGATGATTTCTTCTTCTCTTCGAGTGTCGTGAAATGCTGGTCGAGATGATTTGCCTTGGAATCTCGTAAGTAGCCGAGCTAAGACGTTGCCTAAGGTGCTAGTTGAGATTGCAAGAGAGTGCTGGCAAGGGGATTGAACAAAGCCTTGCTTATCATATCGCTTTCTGATACACTGCATCACTAACTATTGCGCTACCCGGCCATTTAGGTAATTTAAGCGAAATACAGATGATTGCAGGTATTCTGAGGTAACGTCGTAGGGAGCAGGGCTTTCATTTAGTTCTGAGATGGAAATCTAAGCGCGTGAACAATTTGGGACTCGATATTTTGCATGGGCTTTATTTCAAGGCTTTCAAAAATGTGATACGGCAAGGGGCAATGAGAACCTTCATCGTTTACTGAGTGAATGATCCACCATAAAATTCTTGTGGAGTTATCGATTAAAGGTCGTGCTTTCATCTGTTTTTAACCGTTACGAGATTTCTTTTCTTCTGGTTATTAGTCAATTATAATGTAATCTGGAGACGATCTACCACTAGAAATTATGCGAATCCGCTAACCATATTCAAAATACTTTATCCGGAGTAAGAAATTTTGCAAGCGCGCTATTTTGAGCCTCTAGGTAATTAAATAGGCATCGAGCGTAGCACTTGTTTTCACTATTCACTAATTTTCGAATGGAAACCGCTTCGTTTTTTCAAGAGCAGAAACCCCGTTAGAAAGTTTTTGGCCCAATGATGTGAATTGCTTACGTTTTCTGATAGTTCTGTTTTACGCATCACTGAAGCAACGTTTTTCTAGGTGTCGAAATGAGGTACTGGGAAAAACTTAACTTTTCTATCCGTATAATCAGCTGCAGGTCTACGTTACGATTCTGGATGTACTGGTTGAATGTCTGGGCCTTCGGAGTTTTAGTGGTAAATTTCCTAACTCATAAAAGCTCATGTAGCGGAGTGGTTGGACGTGTCATGCAACAGCCTGTACGGGACCAGACCTTTTTTGCGTCTCCTTTAGACTTTCAGTAGTTTTATAGCTTAAATATTTCACCCTCCGCGCATTTTTCGCGCGGCTAGAGCTTTGGATGGCTTTTCACCAGAGTTTTAGTATTTATATGATAGCCTAGAAAATGGTTAGCCTGAAACTGAATTTGCTATTGAAATCGTCTTCATAAAGCGAGAAAATGTCATATCTGTCACTCGGAGATAAACGCACTATGAACGTATGACCATGTAGACAAAATCGTGGTGTATTAGAATAAAAAGCATGAAGGATAAAGTTATCAGCGCCGATCAAACCCTGAGGTAATACAGGATGCATTCATGTTGAATTTCAAGGTTCGTTTGAGGTGATCTAATGCAATCTGGCTTTTACAATCACTCATGATGACCAATCGATGTCTCAAATCAGTACTGCTATCTTCCTAGACAAGTTTGATACCGATTTATCAATCTTGGAGGGATGAAGGCTTGGTAAATCACAAGCGTAAGATCAAACCATCAACCATATGCGCGACGGGCACCTCTAAACACTACGGCTCATACGCTGTTTTACCAGAATATCAAAAGAAACCTGAAAATTTTGCAAAACTGAGAAAACTTCCAACTAAATAACGGAAATCGCGCCTTTTCGGTGCAACAATTGAAGTCGCTGCGGGCAATGCATTTCGCGAGAAGTTGATTTTCGATATTTATGTGGAAGTGTTTTTCTTAGCTCAGACAAAGTTGCTATGTTTCTTATATCAAAAATTTAGGGAAAATTTTGTTTATCGTCCTACAGGTACTACCTTTGATTTTCCTTTTACAATGCCAATTAAACCGGTCACGCAGTTCAAGCGTGAGCTGATCACTTTAAGTGCGAAACGTACTCTTCTTTTCCCTCTCACACTATTCTGTAAAGATATTTCTAGAAACCAAACTAGTATGAGAACTCTTAAAATTTGTGATTACAATTAGCTACATAAACATCAGTGAGAGTTCATCCACAGACCCTAATCAAGAAAAAATTTCGCGCCGTGTGTTATTGTAGTTTTATTCTCGTTGCTACAACGCATCATGAAGGCAATCACAAAACCAAAAGCACTGTGGAAATCTTCGAGATTTCGGCTATTCAATGACCACTAAAAATCTAGTGAAAAAATTTTTTTTCAGCGAAAAAGACCTCCAAATAAATTAGCTTCTTCAAAGATACAAACCCTCACGAACGGTTCAGTCAATGGTACTTGGTTCAATAATGCGTTCTTGGCTCACCAAACCCTTCATCGCTTCGGAGTTGACAAATCAGTACCAGACTTGTCTGATTGGATAACAACATAGCATTGACCTGATACAAGATAGACAGTACCGTACTGACTTGACGATTTGGTATTCCCTCGCAAGTCACTGTGTTTGTGTGCTAGAGATGCATTCAGTTATCTCTAAGGGTGATTGATGAAGTGACTGTCTTTTTTGAAGATTGGTCAGAGCGGAAAGCTTTATCCTTTTATTTATAATATCAAGGAAAAGCCGGTTTCTGTATACGATCTAGAAAGCAATGCTGCCTCTGTATGCTAGGGAGATAACAGATAAGATTTATTTACTCTATGAATGTTAGTCATTCTTTTCAGAAGTAGGTGTGTAATATAAAATGAACACTGTTTATATCTTTGGTGATATTTTGTAGCTACGCACGGGCTATTACTCATTTCCATACACCGGGCAAGAGCGCATTGGCGCAGTGGTTAGAGGTGCTCTGCGTCGCACACGAGGTCAATGGTTCGATCGCTCATGGCTCACCAAGCCCTCCATCCCTCTGTGGTCGGTAAATTAGTCACAGACTGGTGGTCTCAGACTTGTTTGGGAAGATAAGCAGCACTGCGTCGGTTCAACGGTAGGCCATCGCGAGTCATTGTAAAGGCCAGAAATGCATCTAATCACCTCAAACGAAGCTAAAAATTGAAGACGAATGCATGGCGCATCCCTCGGGGATTGATCAACGCCTAGAGCTTTATACACCATTGATGGAATAAATTAATAAAATGAACCTCACTAGATAACATTTCAAAAACAACGCATAAATACGTTCTTGATTATCTCTAACTTTTATGTAAAAACAAGATTCAATAAATCATCATATCACCAGAGGCCTAAATTCCCACAATAATATACGCAAATAAGTACTAAATGCAAAGCAGGAGGGTGTACTCTTTTTTCACGACTTCTTTTAGTAATAAACTGAGTTCGAAGATTCGTGAGATCCCTACTCCGCACTACGCGACCTTACACGCCACCGAAAATTCACGTAGAGGAAATAGTTGGATATGTCGTTCTACGTTCCTTCCCGAATCGAATAATTTCCCTTTTTGAAGATGATGACGTCGCCAGAATAGTAACGATCTGGCGCTAACATTGTATAGTGTTATCAGTAATTTCACAGACGGAGATAGCAATATGAGTCAAACAATACGATGTTCAACGAAGAGAAGCGGAAGCGCACCAATAAAAGCGATGAGGTTATCGTTCACAGAAACGGTAATAAAATTTAGCTTGAGGTCCTCTATTTATGAACTACCTTTTTATCCTTTAACTGCTCTTTTCAATCAGATCACGGTAACCTTATGATGAAAGCAACTTATTTATCTAACATTTACGCGACGACGTGACCTCTATAGGACTGGCACTCGAGGACGATTGCCATAACCTGTTTAGAGGTCATATTCTTTCGATTGGTTTATTCGACGCACAAAACTTTTCTTGCATTCCCTATGATTATTTGATGGGATAACGAACAGGTGTTGTAGCGGCTGTCTATCATGAAAACGGCTAAATATAACAAAAATATGGAAACCTCTCAATCGATACTGCAAATTTTACAGTTAATCAACGCGAAGTTTTCTTCAGACTAGATATTTTGACCCTTTCACGTATGTATGGTGTATCTTAGTCGTTCCCTCTGTACTTGATAGTTTAGAAAAAGGATTCTTTTCCACGAAGTCAGTAAGTGCAAATTTCACTACTACTTCACCGTTACCTCTTTTTAATCTACAGCGAATCACCGTTATCGTATGAATTGTGCGGTTATCAAAATTACAGAGTGAACTTAATGTAAGTTACAAAATTTTCCAAATGCTGATATCTATGTGATTGTATGATGGATCTTAGGAACATATAGTAAATAATAACATATACACGATCCAAACCTCGAGTGATGAAAGATACAGCAAATATCTTCCAAATCTCTGTGACTAGATTTTTCGCAGTGTTGTCTGATACATACCTAACATAGAGATTTTGAAGAATGAGTGGTGGGGCAAATGTACCCTGGTGGTGTAGTGGTAGCACACGTCCCCGGTATGGATGAAACGTGGGTTAAAGTCCCGTCTGAGGTCGTATTTTTGTTCAACACTCATTTCTATTGGGTGAGTATGAAAACTGGGTGCAATAAATAAATTAAGATTGTATAAATAAAAAATTCAAGAAAATCAAACTAAACATCAATGAAATCAAATAATTTAAAACTATAAATTACGAACAAAATTAGGTGGAATCAGCAAATCAGGTAAATAAAATTAATTAAAATTAGAATTTGTTTTTGAAACTGCAGTCTCCCATGGAACTCGGCTTTTTTCTATTCGACTGCCAAACAGAACTAGTCGTCGCCTAAATTTTTTCTAACAAATTTTTTGCTGAGTTTGTGAAAGTGTCTATCTCAGCTTCGAAGGAGACGAAACCAACGAATCGTCAGTTTCTGATGTTTCGAATAAATCTGCTATTTACAATCTCGTTTACATTCAAAACCCCAAGTTATTCGCTAGTATGTCGTATATTTGGCCACAAGGAACAAAAAACAAGCTTTTTGTCCAGTCATCAATCCTAGACTAATCGCATACACCCTTCCCTACCCCGCGAAATCGATCCAGTTTTTCCCGTCAGTGCCGATTCCACCCTCTGACGCACACAGAGTAATACGGCGCTAGGCACATGACGTCCCGGTCCACATACCAAACACCACCCGGTTATTTATCGCCATCCAGGACAGCATCGTCCTGACATCATTCTGTTTGTCCAGTAATGGATATTACAAATAAGACATTATTCTTTAAGGTTCCAGAGATCGACCTTCCATAAACCTCGGCATCAATGATTAGAATGTGTAAGCCTACAATGCCCCTATTGCGAAGGTGACACGAGGCTGAAGCCAATGGATGCATTCTATGTCACAATATGGATATCACTCCACTTTTCTGCTGTTACAAATCGTCAGATTAGATGATTCATGTGGTTCTTGTACGGAGAATAACAATAAATAGGAAACTTGATACAAAAGACGGTGAGATATATAACAACAATATGGCGGCCGAGATCAGTTCTTATTTGCCCAATTGACACGAAGCGCGCGACCATTGAAATCTGTTCCATTAGGCCATTTACAGCATTCTGAGCTCCGGCTTCGTCGGAGAATTCGCAGAATCCGAAACCCTTCGAGCGGCCAGTTTCACGGTCGTAAACGATTCTATAAGCAAACAACGATTATCCAAATGCTATTGAAATTAAGCTCCTCTTCTCACTAACTTGACGTTCGTCACACGTCCGGCTTGACTGAAATGTCTGCCGATAGCGTCTTCGGTGGTCTGGTGGGGTATATTACCGACTGAAAATAGAAATAAATAGAGTGCATAATAAACTTAGTAATATACATAACCAATACCAGTCAGTTATAGTCAATTATAAGGCCATTATATAGCTGTAGCACCTTATCTTAACCTAAACTACGCCTAGCCATGCACGAACTCTGATGAGCTCAATCAGTTCAGTTAATGGGCTCTACCGTTGCGATGTCTCGCCGTCGCTTCCTCGATGGCGTTCGATCGTCCACAGCGACCAACTATGATGGCGTTTGTTGGGGTAGTTTATAAATTAACATTATGGCACTTTATGGCCAGATATGTCGTTGTTTCCTGCAATATCGGAATGTTTTCGAAGGCTATTGCAACCAAAGAGAACACCGATAAAGCCTATTACTACAATCATATTTCGAAAGTAAAAGTCTCACAAACTTGGACATCGCAACCTTCCGGCCCATAAATTGGTCAAACGGTTTTGTTCAAAAATTCCAAAAAGTTGCGATGTATCTCTAAGGACTACGCACTACACATGACTGTGCGACTGAAGGGTAAACTAACCGTATACTGAATAGCGAGTGGGAGAACCAACCATGCCTACACCAGCCATTGCTTTTCTTAAATGTTAGAGGGATTGGAGACGACTTGAGAACACAACCGTCTCTCGACAAAGGAGAACGATGGAATGATTTGCGCACGCCTCGGACGTCGTCACGCGAAACGTACCGCCCCCCTATTTCCCTGAATGAGGGCGATTACGGTGTCGAGTGGAAGGTGTTTGAAAACAGTGTCGTAGTGGCTGGTCATATCAGAGGCTATGGGTATGGGTGAAATCCACCAGGAGGGTCGAATGAAATAAACGAAAATTGATAATCTAAATTTATCAGGATACACCTAGCTTTACCAGCGCTCGTCTTGCCTAGACGAAGTGAAGCCATGCCTAGAAATCATAAGGTTACCAAGCAATTAAGTATTCTGATTAGGACGGCATGTTTTCATATCAACAATAGTTCTGGGAGATATTGAGACCTCACTGTTTGCTGCTGCTTCAGCCCACGATAATGAAGATGTTAAGACCTGCAACGTATTAGGTTATACCTTATGATTCTCAAAATGGCTCAAGAACTAAGAGAACAGATACTTTTCCGCTGAATTTCGAAACTTTGTTCGTAATTCAATACGCGGATTATTGAATGTTCTTGGGGAAGAAAAACTTTCAATTTTGGTTTAAAGTAGAGAAGCTCCGGTATCAGTCGAACAAATGAGAATAAACGTTGAATTCTCACGGTTAATTTAGTGTACCACTTGATATTCTGCACATTTCCCAAATTTCTTAAGGAAAAACATATTGAGGATTGTCTATCGAAGAGTTAGGAACTAATTTTCTTCGGAAACCTTCTTGTTGTTTATGCAGCATTCCTTCTTCAAACTATTGCAGACTAATCGCCGTAAAAGAAAGTGATTCAGCGATTTCGATAAGATCAAAATACGTGTGTAATGTATATGATAGAGCAAACAAGGACTGTTAGTTGTATTGGCTGTAATGCCCAAGAAATTCCAATGCAGCAGGACATAAACCGGAAATGCAAAAGGTTGACACAAAGTGGTCATTCCATATGTAAGCTCTCATTTAATTGGAAACCACCTCACTTTAGGGTCGAGTGTTGAAACCTTGCTTCAGTTCAAAAGGAATGCAACAATATATGAAAACTAGTTCTCTAGTTAGTTAAGCACCTTATCGAGTGCGCGGGCTATTTGGGTGTCAAACCATGACAAGCAGCAGACGGTTCACCTCACACAGTTTCAACAGTGTCGTCTAGGTAAGAAGAAATACGAGATTTCCATTCGCAACTCTAACCATTGCTAAACCCGTACTGTGACCGACTTCGATGAGTTTTACGTAGATAACTTACCGCTAGAAACGCTAGTGAAAACAATAGTGTAACAGACGAAGTGTAAAGCTACTTCTGTTCTTCCCCTATGAAAAACTACAGCTCAATAGAAATTGTGCTGTCTAACCACATGGATTTATTACTTCTCGTTCCAACTGATCGATGATCAACCGAACTACTGGTAATACAAAGTATATAAGAGGGTCGCTTTACGATGAAGCGCTCAAGTTATGGGTTTCAATAACCCACGAGATAGGGGAGTGTCACTCAATAAAAAACAATTTTCTGGAATATTTGTGATATATAATGTGTATATGCTCATGTAAATGAAAAAATGTAAATCTAAATGCAATCAAAATGTGATGCGGGGCATATGACGGCCACCTTGCGATAGTCGATTTTCCTCACAGCCATGGTTTTCTTTCCCGGGCGAATTTCTGATTGAGTACATTTGCGTATTGATTTGGCCTGTCTAGACTTTGAAGGAGGCAAAACTGCCCGAGAGTCAGCCATTTTTGTTTTCGATAACTTGTACCCCACATGCTCTGACACACTGAACAGAAAAAAGGCTACTCGCCTCGCGTCTAGCTTTTACACTCAGTCATCAACCTCCTATCTACCCCATTCCTCAGCTCCCTACTTCCGACATATCGATCCACCAATTCTTTCAGCCAGCGCCGATGTCCCTCATAAAAGCACAACGACTAACGCGGAAGCGCTGAGCACAGGCAACTGACGTCCTTTGTTTACAGACCAGAGATCACTCAATTGTCTGTCGCCCGTTAGACCAGATTATATCTGGTATCATTCCATTTTTCGCATATTAAATCTGACAGTACTCTTACTGGTTCCAAAAACCAAAGACCAAACTTCTATGAATCTCGGCATTGATGTTTAATATTTGTAAAATTTGAGGACTGGTCTTGTTAAAATGACGCGAGGTTGGTACTAGTTGTCATTGTGCTACGATAGCTGACGTTCAGCGATTCTGCCTTCGACAGAGTATACACGTATTTTTTGTAAGGCGATTTGGTATTGCTCATTATTCCTGCTGCTATAGATGATCAGATTCTATGATTTATAATTTGACTGTACAACGGACGACAATAAATAGGACACTTGATATAAATGATGACGATCTATATGACGACATTACTGCGGCTGAAACTAGTTCTTGTTTGCCCAGTTGACACGCAGAGAGCGACCATTGAAATCTGTGCCATTAAGGGTGTTTACAGCATTTTGAGCTCCGGCCTCATCGGAGAACTCGCAGAATCCGAAACCTTTCGGGCGGCCAGTTTCACGATCGTAAACGATTCTGTAAGCAAACAACGGTTATCAAAAAAATTACGACATTGAATTTCTCTGTGAACTAACCTAACGTTCGTCACACGTCCGACTTGACTGAAATGGTTACCTATAGCATCTTCGGTAGTCTGGTAGGGTATATTACCAACTAAAAATAGAAATAATACCTAATGAATAGCAAACTCGACAACATGTAAAACCAATACCAGTCAGTTATAGTCGGTGATAAGGCCATTACATAGCTAAAGCACCTTAACCTAACCTAACTACGCCTAGCTTGCACGAATACTCTTATGAGCCCAATCAGTTCTGTTAATGGGCTCTACCGTTGCGATGCTTCGCCGTCGCTTCCTCGATGGCGTTCGATCGTCCACAGCGACCAACTATGATGTCGTTTGATGGGGTAGTTTATAAGTTAACATTATGGCACTTTATGGCCAGATATGTCGTTGTTTCCTGCAATATCGGAATGTTTTCAAAGGCCGTTTCAACCAAAGAGAACACCGATAAAGCCTAAAGTCTCACAAACACGGACATCGCAACTTTCCGGCCGTTAAATCAGCCCAA